CGCAGAGGGGCCCGGGCGGACCCCAAGCGCAGGCTCTGGGCTCCGCTGCGGGGGTTCGGCCGGGCCTGCGCTCTGTGTGCGGGGGCCGGGTCTGCGGCCCGCCCGATAGAGACGCCCCTGAGGGGGGCTGTGCGAAGGGCAGCGCTGCCTCCGGCGGAGGAGCCGAGACGGAGCTTCGTCTGTCGTGTGCGTGTTCCGAGGGCAGGTCTGCGGGGCGGGGCGGGAAGCTCCGGTGACAGCCTCCAACACCTGAAGCCTCAGCAGACGTGCGTCAGGCCCCTTGCGAACTGCAGTACCGTTAGCAGTGTTTTGGAGATTGCAGCTGTTTCATAGCACAGGCTTTAGCGCAGCAGAAGACAAACATACCGAGTTCTCACGTTGTCCGAAACACCAATAGTGTTCTTCAAAAACAGAACTCTCCCGTGTTCTTTGAATTGAAATCAGCTGTACTCTCTTTTCTTCCACAGGGGAATACAGGCCTCTTACTTTTTCTAAGTTTCAAAAACATTTTGAAGCTAGAGCTTTTGGAGTGTTTTTGGAGATTTCATCTCCATTCTCTTACCATTGCTTGTACCGAAGCCAGAGGAGCCATAAACCTTTTTCAAATAAATAAAAAACTACATTGAGACTTCTCTTCAAGCACTAGGCTTTGGAGCTGGTTAGGTCAGTATATTTTTACTGCCTTGTGTAATTTACTGCTTTGTGCACTTAATGCTGTAAGTAAAAATTGCTCATCTGATAAATGGCTTCTCTCATTAGAGAAGATCAAACTTTCTTAGCTTGTTTTCTGTTAATGTATGTTCTTCCTAACAGGGCAGAGAAGGGCTTCATGAAAATGGAAACACACAGTACAACTGCTTATGGCTCAGATTTATATGTGTACTGTACAAGTAAATGATTTAATTGAAATTATTTTGGTCACAAGGAGAGGATAAAGCTAAATTTATTGCAGAATTAATTCTCTGCCTGCCTGTGAAGTACAGTGACAGCTGATAGTAACAAACACTGGAAAGCAGGTTCTACACTTTATAAACTCATGTATTTTGTGCTTGAATTTGCTCCGAAGATTGCAGCTCCACTGATTGGGAGGTATGGATCATCCTTTCCTTGAAATAAAATTGAAGGTCATTGTGTACAAATCATGTAAGAGTTTTACATAAACCTTTGTTTGACTATCTGTGTCATAGTATGTTGGAGCTTTCAGCAGTGAGTTAATGTGTACATTCAATCAG